GGTTTATTGATGAAACCTTACACATCGTGGGCCGCGAAATGACGAGTTTCAGGATTGAGTCCCAACTTTAGCTCAATTTGTTTTAATGAATTTGTTTTCAGCAACATAACCCATGATAATCGCTACATGATGCATCATACTGCTGCGTGATGCTGAACTCAAGCTTTATCCTCGGTCCACACAAGGTTTAAAATCTAGTTTTACGTGCCCTCTGTAAACGGCACAAACTCGTGGAATATTCGCATTTTTCGGCTTTATTTATGCTCGGCATTTGATATGCCATGTGCCCCTACTGCTTATGTGACTCATTAGCTGAAGTGTTGAGACTTAATCCCATTTGCCCGGTTAAGGCTCATACTGAGTGACAATATCTGCGCTATTATTCACCATTGCTGTGTAGCGAAAGGTAGTAATCTAATATTTTTGGCCAGCAACATGCGAATAATCGCGTCGTTTGGCAGATTATGTATGGTGTGGTGATTTATTCTTTTTGAATTTTCCCGGCCTCATCGAGAACAATAACATTCAGACATTGTCTGTAGAAACGGCATGTGTTTGTATAATTTATTATTCGAAATATATGTATTATTGTCGTTATCATTGTTATACGTTAGTCCATTGGTTCATTAGGCGAGCAGATTATTGCCGCAGTCCAAATCAAATAATCGGGTTCTAGCAGTTAGCTTACACACTTAATTATCAATGCACTTGGGAAGTGTACGTTCATTGCATAAATGGACTGAGCGACTTCCGCTGTTCACGAATCATTGCCATAACCGACTGCCGATTCTTACGACAGGGACTTCTTATACTGGTGGCTTTTCTGACCCATCTGCAAGCCCTGACCCAGGAAAGTAGACACTTGTTTCACGTTTGAAATTTTCCGAGCAACCAATCCTACTAACTCATACCTTTGCCGCGCCCAAGCAACAGATGACCCCTGGCTGAAAGCGTAATATGCCATTCTTTCGTTAGCACTTTTAGGGCACGGGCAACCTCAATTGATATCAGACCTCCAAAGAAATATCATGGCTTGTTGATCCGCTGCTATTGTCCTTTCAAACCAATATGGGGAATTACGATTTCTCTGTTCATACCTTGCTCCGACTATCATAATCCTAACAGAAACCTGGCTGTCACCGGATATTAGTGACATCGAAACTAGTATAAACGGTATGAGTGTTCAGGAGAGGCAGGGAGTTTAAGGAAGGAGGCGGATTGGCGATGCTTATAAGTGATGACCTTAAAAGTGAACGAGCATCCGAAACTCTACTTTCAGGGCTCCCAGACTCCATTGGTGTCAATTTGAGGTTGGACACACCAAGCACCTGGTAGGAGGCGCTACAGAACTCCTACTAGCAGAGTAGAAGATAACCGACAATTGCTGCAAGTAATGTCCAGAGTGACGTCCATCCAAAGTGACCAGGTCATTGTGGCCGGAGATTTTGATGCTCCGACTCTCAATCTCGGGCGAAACAAGGGAACCTCAAGCTGAAGGTTCGGCCGAAACCCACTCAATACTATCAAAAGGCGGGCTACATGAGATTCAACACTCCTTAGACAATCACATGCCTCCACAAGAGAATATTGGTAATGACACGCCGGGCGTAAGGCGGAAAGCCGCCCAGACGGGGCCACTTGTTACCAGTGACCCACTGCTGGTAGAAAATGTACAGGTTCAAACCCACCTCGACAGCAGCGATCATGGCGCTGTAGTGTTAGATCTGGTACTCAACGAACAACTGTAATAGGAGGGATCTCGCCCTTGTATTTGCTACAGCAAGGCGAACTACGTGGCGATGAACCAATACCCGTTGACGGCACCATGGCCTCAGGAGTGGAGTAACCTTCGACTGATCAACATTGGGAACTAGTCACAGATGTCATCAAGAGGGCTGTCTCTGAAAACGTCCAGTAATCACAGCAACACCGCGGAAGCGAACCGCATGGCTGAACAGAGGCACTGAATGCCTTTCGAAAGCCAAGAGGAAAGCGTGGCACAAGTGGAGGACCTCCAGAAAACAGTCTGACCACACCGTGTATACTGCCCTAAGAAATAGATGTAACATTGGAGCGAGGGGAGACAGGAGGTCATTCCAGCCGAACCTTGCCCAGAGGCTCAAGGCAAACCCAAAAAACTTATATCGGTTTGTGGCAGGCAGAAAATCCACCAGCCAGGACGCTTGCTTCATGAAAGGCCTAGACGGAGAGAACCTCTCCGGAATAGAGATCATCGAAGCCCTTAGCACCACCTTCGATACGCAACTCCATAAGTCCCTATCAAACCAAAATTACCAACTGTCCGACCGAAATTCAGCACCACCAAACGCAGTAGAGTCACCTGGAATAAAGGTAACTCCTGCTATGGTCCTCGAAAAACTGTCAAAGCTCCGCCCAGGGAAACCGCTAGGATGTGATAACATCCGACCGGCTGTGCTGAAACAATGTGCGGGTGCCCTGTGCGATGCGCTGTGTAACTTGTTTCAACACTCTTAGACAATCACATGCTTCCACAAGAGTGGAAAAGTGCTATTCTGTCCCCTATCTTCAAAGGTGGAGACAGGCAGAGCCCAAAATGCTACCGACCCATAGCCCTCCTACCAGTGGTGTCAAAAGTAATGGAGGGCCTGGTAGACGACCATGTCAGGGAGTACTTAGAAAAGAAGGGAGCACTTAGTGATGCTCAACATGGTTTCGGAAAGCGTAGGTCCTGTGCCATGAGCACTCTGGTGGCAGGCGATAAGTGGACGGCATGCTGGGACCTCCAAATTCCTGTCCATGTTATCTTCCCGGATTTTGCTAAGGCCTCTGACACAGTCCCACACACCGTCCTCATTTACGAAATAGCAAGGTTGGACATCAGGGGACAAGTGCTTTCATGGTTGCGGACCATCTAGATGGTAGACATTTCTGCACAAAGCCAACAGAGTTTGCTCCACTTGGAGGACATCATCATCTGGTGTATCACAAGAGGCGATTCTGGGTCCACTGCTATGCCTTCTTTTTGTGAACGACCTTCCACTGAATCCCGGCCCTCCAACTCCACTCTATGCTGATAATGTTAAGTTATGGAGAGCTGTGACGTCAGAATCAAGTGTACCGCAAAGTGACCTGAGATTACTAGCAGAGTGGGTGGGTATTAATGGATTCGCGTTTAACCTGGATAGGTGCTGAGCCACGTTTCTCTGCACCCCAGACTCTCAGAAGGTATTCTATTCTCTCTGTGGAACACAAGCCTCCCACACCACCACGGAGAAACACCCAGGAGTAATACTAACTGACAAACTAGATACTTGCCCCAAGTATCCAGGAGGTGCCTCCGGAGCCTACACAGTGCTGCACTTCATGCGCAGACAGTTGGGTACTCTTTTTGAAGCTGTAGAAGACCCATATACGACCCCACCTAGAGGTACACAACGTCATGGCACCACCATATCTGAAAAGAGACGCGAACCTCCTAGAGAAGGTCCAAAGGAGAGCTACAAAGGGTGTCGTGGGAATGAGGCGAAAACCATATCAGGACAGGCTGAAAGATCTAGGGCTCTTCTCCCTAAGCTGCTGTAAATTACGTGGTGACTTGCTAACGGCTTACAAAATACTCAGTAACCCAGGCCATCCGAACAGTGAAATCCTACCGAATGGCCACTGTGGTGATCCCGTGGTAACCCGAGGAAAATCGCCCACCAAAGAGCGAAAACCCATGTGCGATCACACTTCTTCTCTCTGAGAGTTTCAGGCCACTGGAACTTATTGCCTGCCGAGATTGCTACTGCTCCGTCTGTTGACAGCTTCAAGAGGAGGTTGGACAGTTATGCAACGAAGTACGGTTTTGCGCCCATCCAACTGTGGAATAGGCTGACATGACTTACCGACTCGGTATGACCAACCGTTACGAACACTGTAAAACCACCATCACTGAGAACTTGGTTCAACCTTATACCTTCCTGTAGACGTCCCTTCCAGTTGCCGTCTCCTACTAGAAGAATTGCTATATTCCATTCGTCCTGTCTTGTTATTTATTATTCTTCCTTCTGACTCTATGTTCTCAAACTTCAACAAAAGCTCTGCCTATCACTCATTCCCATGAACCTACCAATGTTTCTTTCTCCGTGGCGTGTCATTTTTCTCAATATTTTTTCCTTTTCTTTTTTTATTTTGTCTTTCTCTGCACTTTCTCTCCCTTGATTTCTCTGCACATATTTTTCATCTCCTTTCTACAACCAGTCCGACCAATGTCCGCTGTCTAGACATTTGAGGAACCCATCTGCACCACAGTCTTCGGAAGAAAAAGCAAACAAACAAACAACACTACAAATTTAACCAACACCCAACCACCCGTCGGGCTGTAGCGTCACACACTTCCCCAAAATCAGTAGCCTAGGGTTTGACAACTTTCGACATTGATGATGATCTTCATAGTTTAACTGGACTCGCTAAGCTGAAGGCCCCTGGTCAAGCATCCTCGCCATTTGGCACGCTGTCGTGTTACGTTGCACTGCTCGTATTCGACTCCAGCCAGTTAGTTGGAACGCACCGGTATCTTGGCACAACCATCCAAATATACTATTCCATCCGACTACGCCATCGTGTTCTTCCTTGGTCTCGTACTCGTGGGTATATATCAAGTCCGAATAATTAGTGATTGGTCTTTGCATCTGTCAAGTTCGCACCAGGACAAATCCTAAAGGGCTAACCAGAGCTGCAGCAGCCAGGTGGGTAGACCTACAGCATCGGAATCAACTAGAGGCCTGGAACCGTTCCGCAAGACCAGAAGCGAGCGCGAAGAGATCAGTTGGTTTACACTAGCTCGTAAAAAGATATTGGATTTCCAACTGTCATTGGAATCAGATTGTGAACACCTTGATCTCGACCAGTAGGGGTAGAGAGTCAGAAAAAAATATAGGGGTTTTTATTCTCCAAATGGACCTGAATTCTTCACATGATGACTGTTAGTATGCAGTATATGAATGCTATTTAAGATTGTTTAAATCAACACACACTGTTGTTAGCCCGTTACGCGCCACTCTGGGTTGCCATCTTAACGGACATGTCGTATTTCGTTCGCATAAGAGGTCTTCCGTTCTCGGCAAATGCAGAGGACATTATTAAGTTCTTCAGTGGTAATCTGATTTTTTTCATCTCCTCACAAATTCCTCAGACTCTAGAATAAGAGGCGGAAAGCGCGGAATTTACTTCCCTCAAGGACCTAATGGTCGTTCCAATGGAGAAGCTTTCATTGAACTAGAAACTAAAGAAGATAAGGAGAAGGCCATGGCACGTCACAACGAACACATGGGGCGTCGATACATTGAAGGTAATTAATTAAAACGTCTTTATGAATATTATTCCTAGTATTCGATTCCTGTTCAGAGGAATTAAATAGTGCCATGGGGAGTAGATCTTTCGACTCACCCAATCGGAGGGAGCATGTTGTCAGGTTACGTGGTCTTCCTTACGATACAGAAAAAAAAGAGATCTACGCATTTTTTAATGGTGAGTGGACCCCATTTACTCGTCAACGATATCCATATCTTTCCCCTAAAACTGGTATGCACTGTTCATTTTCCATGTACGTAATAGGTCAGCATACAAAGCACTGCCCTTTTGAGAACCAAACTTTGTTGTACATTTTCTGTACATTTTAAGGGCTGGACTGAGTTCAACAGTTCTTGCTAACACCATAGGATGTTGCTTGTGAATTCCTAAGGAGTGAAAGTGGAAAGTATTCCGGTTAATTAGTTGTCCGTCCTCCCTGTGGTGAAGCATGTTTTAAGGGTGGCAGGGGCAGAGGCAGCTATAAGCTGAAATCTATTAACGTTGCCTGGATATGGGCTTGTTGGACTACTGGGTTTCCAGTTTTATTCAGACACCGTTAGCAGTTGCGTAGACGGGTGAAGTCTGTGGTTATGTTCGTCAAAGTGTGAAACAATCAGCACACACAAGCAGTCTGATTTCGGAAACAAGGAATTCCGGAAAAGACCTGAAACTGCATTGGGCTGTTGATAGTCGCGTGTTATTGCTACGAAACTTTGTTCTTGGGACACATTCATCCCGAAAGGCTTTTAGTTTTTGGTCCAGTAAGTGGTGCGTAGTAACTCAAAGAATTGCCGACAGAGCCTAGAGCAAACCTGAGCAGTATATACTTGCTGCCACTTGCGTGGATAGTTGTGCAGTTGGTTTAGTTGTCTACGTGGGCCCCATTAAAACTGATTCAAAGTTTTATGTCGTATCACCTTCCATAAGCACACTTATTCTACTTCCAATCCACTTAGTATGTTGTGTACTTCCAAAAGGATGTCTTAAGATTGCTATTGTTTATGTTCAGTGTAATAAGCGATAATATTGTCCAACAAAGGTGCCGTGGTTTTGCGTGAATTGAAAATATCGGAACAAATTGTCTGGTATATTTGGGTGAAATAATCGGTGCATTTTTTTGGCTTGCAAGATTAATTATTGAGGAAAGTGGTTGTAAAATTCAGGTGCTCTGAACGAATGGGACACTGATTTTCTTAAGTCTCACGGTGGATATGTTCTCTTCCGTTTTCAATTGGCACATATTCTACAGCGTTTTTTTGACTGAGGTGGCTAGGACATACAGTTAGTATGCCTTTTCGTCGTCGTACAGTGTTAGGTGAAGTAGGTTTAGGCTGAGAAAAGGCTCGATGCGGCTAGTCTAAGATGTGGCGTTATGGCGTGATGTCCTGGGCTGTTGGTGTGAGTCGTGTAGAAAAATGTGAGCTTCCGGGGTGGCTGGAGACTCAAGGTGACGTGTCTTGGAATCAATGTCAGTGGCGTGTTATCCTCATCTTGACGGTCATTCTGAATGTCAATATTGTTCATCCTACTTCCCATTACTCTCTACAGTTCTGCACCAATCTTTATCCTTCATCTTCGTGCTTTCTCGCTTGATCTGCTGATAGGTGTGACACCTTGAACCCTTAAGCACCAATGCTGGGTCCTGTCTTGATGTAGATGGTGATGACAGCGAGTTATAATTATTTCCCGGAAAGTGGACGAAATCGATTTAATGTTCTTTGGGGGGCAAGATGATCACCGCTAGACACGAAACAAACTATAGTACAGAATATTCAGGCACTGTTGAGGTATCCGCACAGGAGCCTATCGGCCAACAGGTTCAGCAGTCAAACCCAGTATATAAAAAAATTAAAATATTGGTAATTAAAAGGTTCAACAACTTGAAATAAATACGATGATCTGGTCCCATTTGTTTTGCATTCTCTAACCTTGTATCATCCTCATCCTTTGTTTTCTGCTTTCTCATCCTCGGGTCCATAAATCAGTTGGGAATCACCTGTTCATCCTTCGGTTTTGTATTTTCATACGTAATATATTTTAGAATATGACTTTGACATCATCGTCAATATCAACATAGGACCAAGCATTACTGCGTGACGGTCCGAGTTGCCACAGCTTATATATCACCACACGAAGTGAAAAGACTGTGAACTGAAAGGTGAAGATAAGAAAATACAGTCAGGAAAAATATAAAGTACGAAAAAAGAGAAAGGAAGAATGAGGAAATGGCGAGATTCAGTATGGCGTCGTTGAGATGAGGATAATGTGTCCATACACCTGCGCCACTGACATAGGTTCTGAGCCATATCACCTAGATTCAGTCCCCAACCGGCCAGCCTGTGTCGCCTCACATGGCTGGAACTGATAGTCAGGGACTTCATACATTAACGCCATGTTTTAGTCTGGCCACCCCGGCATTTATCGAGCCTTGACCTACTCCGGCAAACATTTGTGACGAAGGAGAGGGCGACTAGGCATACGTAATAAGCGTCCCAACCATCTCAGTCGATAAAGGATCACAACAATGTCAACTGACTTCTGCGTTACTCACGTGGTGACACCACAAAGTACGGCTTATGCTACGAAGGCAACAGTGATGAAACGCCTTCTCATGTCTTCCACCTTGAATGGCCATGTTTCACAGCCATACAGTAGAACAGACCGGACTGCTGTGCAGTACACGTGAACCTTAGTAGGCAATCGGGTATCTCGGTGGCACCACAGGTGGTGTAGGTTGGCGAAAGCCAACCGAGCCTTTTGTATACGTGCAGAGATTTCATCGGCCACTGGGCCAGCCACCAGGGCTGATCCCACTTCCCAGGTAAGTGAAGTGTTCAACACACAGCCTCTACACTCTCTATTGTTAGCCATGGCACCGTTGAAGACCGATCGTGGAGCAACAACTTGTATTTGGGTGGTGAGAAACGCATCCCAAACATTCTCAAATTGCTACTCAAAGTGTTCAGAAGACTCTGGATCTTGTCAGCAACTTCACCTAACATGACTACGTCATCTGGGTATTCTAGGTCTAACGAAATTTATCCCTCGATTAGGTCAACCTCTGTGTAGTCAGATGACGAGAGGGAGACCTCCATAAGAATATCTATGATGAAATTGAATAAGAATGGAGAGAGTGGGCACCCTTGACGGACACCACTCGATGAGCATACCTCCCTGGACATCTCACCATGGTCTCCAACACGCCAGCAAGTGTTCGAGTAGAGAGCCTTCAATAAAGTGATGTACTTAGTCGGCACGCCTTTCAGTGAGGGACATTGCCATGAGGCTGCTCGATCAACGGAGTCGAATGCCGCCTTCAGGTTGAGAAATACAGCTATTTTCAGGTGTCTGTAAGCGTATCTGTGTTCCAAAACCTGGCGCCGTGTGAACATTTGGTGAATACACCCGTGGCTGGGCTTAAAGCTTGTTGGTTTTTCGGGCTTGCTGTTCCTGAGTTCCACTCAGGCTGTCTCACGAAAAGGGGTACCGAGTAAGTATATCACTCTGTTGAAGGTTTGATACACGTACACCGAAAGGCGTGTTAGTGCCTAAAGTGTTGTTACCAGGTGAAATGGCTCAGAGCCGATGTTAGTGATGCAGATGTACATTAGATGAATCACTTTGCTGAAGTCGGCATTCGCTCATTCTCCTTCCCTCGTTGTGCTTTTGACTGATTGTTTATTTTCTCTCCTATCTTATTACTTGTGCTGGTAAGAGGTATGGCAACTTGGACCGTTGCGCAGTAATGCCAGGTCTTGTGTTGATGGTGATCAGGTACTCGAATTTCAGTAGCTTTTTTTCGTACATGAGTTTATGCAACATAATTAGTTCACCAATTCGATTTGGGTACTTGCTTTCTGTGAATACGTCTGACTTCTGTACGACAATCTTAGCAAGTGTATCACTTTTCCAGCTTACCGACCACTTGTAAATTAGAGCTTGTTACGACGTCCCAAACAAACAACTTGTTTAACTGAGGCTTTGCGCGCAGACCTGGTTTCGTGTTTCTCGACAGTAACTGAAATAGGAGCAGGTTAAACGAAAGCTAAGCATTACCAGGTCAACATATGATAATAGTACACCCAGTCGTCCGTACTATTGATTCATGTCGTGTTGTCAGATGTCTATCCTCTTTGTCGCCCTTTGTTTTTCTCTTATAGTTTCGTCACAACTGGTATCATTTCCTTGTCTGTCCCCTTTTTGCTTCCACTCTGGTTAGACAGACAGATCAGTGTGGGACCTTAAACACATGTTCATCAGTTCAGGCTGTCACACCACAGCATTGAAGAAGTGCAAAAAGCAACACGGGAATAAAGCAGGTGGGAGTGTGTAATAAAGGAGAACAAACAGATGAAAGTTAAAAAAGATGTTCAAACCACAGATGGTAAAATTCCACATATCTGCCCCATTGTGACAGATTTTTAGCCATATCGCTAAGCAACTCAAACCATATATTCCTATCATCTCAGGAATCCCTACCAGTCATTTTAGACCTTCATACACAACTGAAACCGACGATCAAAGAAAAACTTCATAGACTAATTCTTTCATTCTCAGCTTTCTTCCATCCTGATCCTATTTAGGTTAAAACCACACGTCGAGGTAGGTGATAGCTGCTTGGGATACACAACACGTCAAAGCCATGTCAGTTGGCGACTTGTCTTCCTTGTTTTGGGTATGTATCCAAACTATGACTATCTCATGTGGTCTCACTAAAGGAATATCTGTTTTCTAACAAGGGGAAAAACCAGTGTATCTACTCAAATGCACTGTCAAAAGTAGACAATGTAACAGAATCCTTGCATACGTATGCAGGCGCGCATACTGGTTATTGTAGTCTGATCCTAAACCTAGTTTTCTTCCAGCTGACCGTCAGATCAATGTGTTTAAAGTTTATCCCGAAATGTTGCCTTACTTTTTTCAGTCAGAACAATCAATGCATTTCGTCATTCAGTATGAAGCCTAGGAAAATTTTCCCCTGCTCTTACCTAAAACTAGATTTATGGTTAGTTTCGATGAAAATCGATTAATTTCTCTTTGAAACATTCACATATGTGATTCCAAGAAAAAAATCTACTTTTCTTGTTATTCTGTTCATTTGCTGGTGCACTTGCAGGGAAAAGACACCATATTGAGTTCGTTAGACCGTAAGTAGATATTATAATCGTTTACAATTGTTTTTATTTCGAAGACAGGTCGTAATCACTCGTAGTTCTGGATGTAATGGTAAGTTTATTGGCTTCACATTCATCAATAGATGTTTCTGACTTGACTAGAAAATATATATTTTGTAATGCTCCAAGCTAGTTTGGGGGATTTAATCATAACACTGGGCCATCGTTTTTTTACTTTGCGGCAACTTTTGGTTAATGAGGAGCTTATCCTAGGCTGTTACTTACTTGTTTGGTATAACGTCTGATCGTTTTATTTGTTTCATTCCTTTCCTAATTCCTCGGGCTTTATGGATTCTGGGGATCGACAGGTCTGGAAATAGCTCCCAACGGTATCGGGTTATTGGTGGATCACATGGGTCGTTGCACGGGGGAAGCGTATGTTCAATTCACGTCTTCTGAAAGTCTAGCACGGGCAAAGGAGAAGCATATGGAGAAGATAGGGCACAGGTGCTTATTCTCGGGTTTTTGGATGGGAGGTTTGGGTATTGTTGTTAATGTTTTACGTAATAGTCCGTCGTATGGGATATTTATTATTTGTTTGCATAAGTAAACCGCTTGTTAGCACTGTAACCGTTTATTTCAGACTTGTCCTCATTTCGAATAATTCTTTTCCAGGTACATAGAAATATTTGAAAGTACGATGATGGAAGCAAATATGACTATACAACGCCAGATGGAAATAAATAGTAAGTTTCGAAAAAAATTCGAGTAACTTTTAGGAAACCGTGGTTCGGGTGGGGGACCGATGTATGGTCGTGGATATCGTGATGGTCATCCTATGGGTTACTATGGAGGTCCCAGAGGAGGAGGGTATGATGCACCTCCATTTGGTCCAAACGGTCCGGGTTCTAACCGAGGTCCACCTTCTGGAAGATTTGCGCCGTATGGTCGACCACCACATCCGTCTAGCCATCCTGAATACAGTTCACCTACTAGAAGTTACGAAGGACCCATCAAAGGACCTAATTATGGACCATCTAGTCATTTTGAAACTGATGATCCACAGAGCTCAACTGGGCATTCCGTTCGTATGCGAGGCCTGCCGTATGCAGCAACAAGAGAAGATATCGATCGTTTTCTTGCCCCGCTACAAGCGGTCAACATTCGGATGCGTTTTAATGCCGTAAGTTCAGTACCAACCATTGTGATTATTGAATTTTTATTTGAGTATTACACAAAGTCCTTTATTGGCTTCAGGCTAACCGGCCTACAGGTGAAGCAGTCGTAGATTTCGCCAGTCACGATGAAGCGAAAGAAGCAATGAAGAAGGACCGCGAAAAATTGGGTCTCGTTATATCGAGCTTTTCTTAGCATCCACACCTAAAGGAATATCTCCACCGCGTGTGGTAAGCTTAAAATCCAATCAAGATAAGTTTTTCATAGAATAATGGTGCTCCTCCTCCTCCTCACCGGTCATCCCCTGTCTACAACAACAGGAGTTTCCAGGGCCCACCATATGGTGGTGGTAGTTTTTCTCTCCACCAATACGAATATGATGATGTGCATTATCGAGAAGATATGGGACGCAATCCAGGTCCAGGTGGCTCCGAATATAACCAGCGATACGACAACTCGTATAGCGGAACAGGTATGAGAAGATCGCTAGGGTCTTCAGGTAGGTTGATTATTCATGTTTATATGTTTTCTAGGTGATGGTTATTCGGACTGCAGGTATCGTCAAGGAAATCGCTTTTGGTCTTGAAATACTCTTTCCCATTCTTTTTATGATTAGAATAATAAATGTTTTCATAAAAACTTAAGCTGTTTGCTTTCAGTCATTTTAAGTGTAGCGTTAGCTAGCAATTAAAACGACTGTGTCAGAAGTGATTTAGTACAGAATGTATAATGTTACAAAGGGCACTCAGGTACTGTGTGTACTAGGCAATGCGCCAAACCTTATTGTGTGAGGGCTAGTGATACTACCTGCTTACCCAAACCTCGGTAGGTTGAGCGGAGCTGGAATCCGTGACCCAGTGGTTGATAGTCGTCTCTCTAAACCACTGTGTCACACTCCTACTATATATCGTTGCGCTTCAAATTCACTGAGAATGCTCTTTAGACGTGTATCACGGTTAGTTTTTGTGTTCATTGGTTCTAGAGGTGAATTGCCCATGACTAATAGGACTCCTCAATTTTAGTGCCGTTTCAACACTTGTCATGACTTACTAATTAATGAATCCTACCTATTTGGTACAGCGAAATATGTCAGTCATCGTTGTTTTAACTTAGGCTGACTTTTGAAAGTTTTGTTTTGTAGCAGCTTGTGTATTGCATCGTATACTCCTTATAGATCAGTCAGTTTCTGAGGAATCAATATCTATCTCTAAAACAGTTGAGAATTTCACCAAGTTCATGCAATTTTGTCGAAGTATAACTTTCGGTAACACTGCATGAACTTGGTGAAATCCCTGTGGTTTCGAAAACGGAAAGTGACACTTCAGAAGCCTACCAGCCTTACTGAGTAGTGTCAATATCGTCCATTCGGACAAGAAGGAACGTCCCCACTTAAGCGCAACGTACGAATTAACAAGAACGTTTATGTTACAGTCAATTGTGTAGTGAAGAATCCTGCTCATTCTTCGAGAGGTAAATCCACACTGTATTGATGTTTCATTGTATTCTCCATCCAACCTAGTTTAGAATTCAAGTGACCCTGGCGTCACACTCACTACTCTTCGTTTCACTTCGATGGGCTTTATACGTGTTGTGTAATCAGAATGAAATTCATTATCCTCCTTTTTGGTTTTAGAGTGTATATCAAACAAAGAGCATGAGGTTGCACTGTTATTAGATTGCATGGATGTATCTAGAGCAGTTCTCTCGTCTATCGTTTCAGAGAACTGACGTTAGTGCTAAGTCTTATAATTCAGCGGCCGTGTACCTTAGTATACCAACGGCCGCACCAGTTTTGAGGACGAATGGTTATGTAGACCTCCGCAGGAGGAGTGTGAAGTTCAAACCTGCAACCAGCTGACACGATGTTGAGTGTCGAGATGAGTAAGCCATAGTTTCTTTATGAGAGAGATGGGTAAGTTATGAAGAGCTCATGTTAAGGTTTCGTCTTGCACTAAACAGTGTCCTAGTGCCATACGTGTATCTAAGTCTGAGCCAAGTCATATGACTAAGATTGTACAACGTCTTAATCTTTGTGCGAAACCTCAACTTGGGATTTCACAGAAGTAAATATCTCCGTTGGTGCCAAGAATGTACCACTCGTGATCTTAGTGTTATCGTATTTGTAGCTGGTGAAGAATTTTGTACCATATAAATTCTTAGAGTCATTAGCTCACTGTAGTTCTACACTTTCACTGACTTTTATCCGTATCATACTCAAGCACTTCAGTAATACACACCTTTAACCATCGAATTCATAACTTTTTTCTCATCAGAAATGAATCGATTATTGCAACAAAAATAAAGTTTTGGCAATCGTCGTCCCATGCTGTCTTTTCTACTCACTGATTGTCGATCAAAAGCTTGACAAAACAGCGAGTGATCACGTCAGTGTGGTCGTTTTCATGGCGGTCGATGAGATCTCAGCATCCACTCAAAAGTCTATTTTTGCTCCAGAGAGGTATACTGATACTCAGTGGTATATGTACTGCTCAACAGCCTACACTGATTCATAGAAATTAATGGCTTTAGGTCGTTAGAAATATTCCATTCTGTCAATGTCTTCCGATCACTGTCAGCATTTAGGTGATGTATCCAAAGGTTTTTGTCAACATTCTCCACTTGATATGTTTATTCAGTACAGTGACATTATTATTAATCCTCCTCCACCTACCTGAGCTGGATTGACGGGATCATACCCCAAATGTTTCTTTGAGGTGCGTGATAGAAAGACTCGGGTTAGTTGGAATGGTTTTATTGACTTGAGTGTGTAACTGCAAATCTTAGGGAACATTCCAGGTCGATAGCTACTACCTTGACATGGTGGTCGGGCTCGCATATCATAAAGACAACTAGCGGGAACGCTTTTCTCCTTGAGGTCCTACCATGCAAGAAAGGTCTATTAGACAGTGGTAAGATTGGAAGTAGTTACCATTGTAGTGTGAACTACTATGCTATGATGGGGGTCGTAGGGCGAAGTCGTACGGCTGCTAGCTGGATGGGGTGTGACAGCAATAAGGTGTTTCCCTTAGATGACGACCTGTTCTCGGCTGATGCTGCCTTCCCTATGGAGAAGAGAGATTGCGAAAAGGTTGTCCCTTCTTGCCCCATGATCTTCCGATGCTGCTGGTATAGCTTCTCTATACAGCTTTGAGACAACCAAACCTCAAAATATCATCATCATTATCAACATAGGACCAGGCATTACTGCGTAACGGTCCGAGTTGCCACACCTCATATCAGCACATCAAGTAAAAAGGTAGTGAGGTGAAGGATGAAGATAAGTGAATGCAGTCAAAAGAAATATAAAGTACGAGAAGAAAGGAAAGAGGAGTGACAAAATAGTGAGATTCGGTATAGCGTTGTTAAGATGAGGATAATGTGTGTATACATCTGCGCCACTGACTTCGGTTCTGAGCCATATCACCTAGGGTCTCCAACCACTGGTTCCTCTTGTCCCGTGGACCCCAACCACCTAGTCTGCATCGTCCTACATGGCTTAAACCAACAGTCAGAGACTTCATACATTGGTGCCATGTTTTAGTCTGGCCACCTCGGGCCTTTTTCCAGCCTGAACCCACCTCAGCCAACATTGTGTGACGAGGCAATCGGTGACTAGGCATACGTAGTACGTGTCCCAACCATCTCAGTCGATGAAGGTTCACAACCTCGTCGACTGACTTACCTCTTCTCCCCAAAACTCTACACCTAACTTCTGCATTACTCACATGGTGACACCACGGAATACGTCCTATACTACGAAGGCAACGGTGGTCAAACACCTGAAACCTTTTTGTGTCTTCCACTTTCAATGGCCATGTTTCACAGCCATACAGTAGAACAGAGCGGACTGCTGTGCAGTACACGCGACCCTTAATAGACAAACGAATATCACGGCGGCGCCATAGGTGGCGCAAATTGGCAAAAGCCAATCGAGCCTTTTGTATCCGTGCAGAAATCTCATCGGCAACTAACCCACCGGGTTGATCCTACTTCCCAGGTAAGTGAAGTGGTCAACACACTCAACCACTTCACTCTCTATTGTTAACCGCGGTACCGCTGAAGACCAGTCCTGGAGCAAAAATTTGCATTTGGGTGGTGAAAATCGCATCCCAAACATTCTCAAATTCCCACTCAAAGTGTTCAGAAGACTCTGCATCTTGTCAGCGTCTTCACCTAACAGGACTATGTCATCTGCATATTCTAGATCTAAGGAAAATTCACCTGTGATTCGGTCAACGTCTTTGTAATTAGGTGACGAGAGGGAAACCTCCATAAGAATATCTATGATAAAATTAAATAAGAATGGGGATAGTGGGCATCCTTGACGGACACCACTTGATGAGTATAGCTCCCTGGACAACTCACCATAGGCTCTAACATGCCCACAAGTGTTCGAGTAGAGAGCTTTCAATAAGGTGATGTACTTACTAGGCACGCCTTTCAGTGACAGACACTGCCATAAGACTTCTCGATCAACGGAGTCAAATGCCGCCTTCAGGTCGAGAAATACAGCTATTGTCGGGCGTCTGTAAGCATGCCTATGTTCCAGGACCTGGCGCAGTGTGAATATTTGGTCGATACATCCACGGCCAGGTCTAAAGCCTGCCTGGTTTTCTCGGGCTTGCTGTTCCCGAGCTCCACTCAGGCGTCGGAGAATTATAGAACTTAGGATCTTAGACACTATGTTTGTCAGGCTGATTCCTCTGTGGTTATCACAAGAGGACTTCTCGCCTTTCTTGAAGACTGGGATGATGAGTGACTTAGACCAGTCGGAGGGGATCGTATTTGATTCCCATATACTGGCTAACACTTCCGTTAGCCTGACTAAGAGAACTCTACCACCATTCTTGTATACCTCAGCAGGTAGTCCGTCTGGTCCTGCTGCCCTTCCCCGTTTCAGGCTACCTACCGCTTTCTCAACTTCTTCTAGTGTTGGGGGACCTGTCTCTATGTCCCATTCAGGGTCCGACTGGATAGCGGGCAGCGCAATGGTGGCTGGAGGCCAGTTAAACTGTTCCTCAAAGTGTTCTGCCCATCGTCCCAGTCGCCTTCCCTGCGAGTGAATCGCCGATCCGTCCTTCTCCGCTATAACCTCACTAACTGTTGTTGACCATTTCCCCCCAGTCTCCTTAATAAGTCTAAATAACTGTCTACTGTTACCGATCGCCGCTGCCTTTTCCATCTCTTTAGCCTTTGCTGCCCACCACTGTTCACGATCGTTGCGCAGACTTTTCGTCAGTTTATTTTTAAGTTGCGCTCGCTCTTCATTGTACTCAGAGCCTGCAGGGATGCATTCACGTGCATCCATTAGTTTGGAAGAAGCTGCTGATATCCACTGGCTCTTTTTAGCCATTATCTTGGAGTCGGCTACAGTCTCCAGTGCTGCTTTTACAGTAGACTGAAGATGGCACCAAGCTTCTTCTGGATGAGTGACAGTCTTTTGTTCCGATAACTGCCTAGCCAACTTCTCACTGAACACGGCTTTGGTGTTTTCGTTGTCCAGCAGAACTCGTAGTGGTTTTGTTGCCAAATTTTTTCTACGTCCATTGAGACGCAGGCATATACGTGCTCGGACCAACGCATGATCGCTGTCCAAACACGTACTCCAGAAGGAGCGGCAGTCTTCCACCGATCCTCTCCAGCGATGACTAATAGCAATGTGGTCTATCTGTGTCCATCGCTGAGTCGAGCTCGGTGGACGCCAGGTCAGACAGTGCCTTTCTTTATGTCTGAAATTTGTGCTGGCTAAAAATAGGCGGTTATCTGAGCATAGTTGTAATAGGCGATCACCGTTATCTGTACGTTCAGCTGGGATTCCGAAAGTGCCACCTAAGTGCCTTTCTGCCTCACTCAGTCTACCCACCTGTGCGTTGAGGTCACCTGCAACAACCACTACGTCCGAACGTTTGGCTTTCGAGAGGAGGTTAGACAGTTTATGGTAGAACTCGTCCTTCACTTCATCCGAACTACAGTCAGTGGGTGCGTAAGCAGAGATTACAAAGAGACAACGGCGAGTCTCACTATTCCTTTTAGTTCTCACTGTGCCGTTCAGCCTCATAGCGCAGAGGCGACTATCAACTGGGATCCAGTCTAGTAGTGAGTTTTCTGCCCTGGTGCTTAATGCTATACCTACACCTGCAAGACCACGAGAGCTAGCTATCGAATCTCCAGAAACTCGAAGGGTGAATTTTGCAGATTCACCAGATTGGTCAGGAGAGGTCAGGTGAATAACC